AATGTAGCACTCTACAGCTTCTGCAAACTAAGTCTCATTATTCTCAGTCGTAACCAATTTCTTGGGATTTTTAAAAGCTTCATTTATATTTTCTAACTCAGTTTGGAAACTGGTCAGAAGTTGTTCTACTGTATTTTCACCACAATATAAGGGTGATACTTCAACTTTCCCATTGCTTCAAACTTTTACCAATATCGTTTTTACTTATCTCTGGCATCACCATATGCTGTGTCTTGTCCTCAATTCCCAAGCAGTCTTCTTTATGAGCCTCCAACAGGTCATCCCGAGAGGAGATTTGAAGGCATTGGCAACAGGGGAATTCCACTGTCTTTTTTATTACTGTTACTATGAAACATACCAGCAAGATTTTTAAAGCATTATCTGTGTTTTTCACACTTATAACACCACGCTTTGGTATGTAAGCAGGAGTCCTAATGTAATTCTTCCCTCTGAAAGGCGATAATTAGCACGATATAATGACTCGCAAAGGCTCAGCTGTCATCCAGAACCATCGTTAACAAATTTCTCCATCAATTCAATAGTTTTAGCTGGAGCTGCCTCAAGTATCGATATCACTTTTTTTAAGTATAGGTTTACATTAAAGGAAAACAATCTGTTTTATAGTTTCAGTTCCATCATCACCATAAATATTTACAATGATTAATGAATCTTTTTCCATTTCAACTACAAGAATCATTTTCACTTTTTTGCCATCCTCTTCAACCTTACTTTCTATCAACTGCCTCATTTTTGGTGTCATCTCATTAAGAAACATAAGTGCGCCAGTCTCTAATCTATGGCCTAAGGGTAATTCAGCTTTATAGTTTGCAAGCTGGCCAGTTTCCTTGTGAATTTCGAAATCTGGCATGAATCTTTATAATTAACCACTTTCATCAAAAAGCTCCATCCTTTTCATTAGTAAACCATCTTGGTTCATTATTTTTAGGAGAGAGCTCTAATTTGCTTAACCTGTTTAAGTGAGATTAATTTCCGGTGGAAAAGTTTTTTTTCTCTGAGTTATAAAATTTTTCAAGAACCTACTCTCGTAATCAAATGTATGCGCCAAAGAGTTTTCTGTGTAGTGGCTGCTTGCCTTGTCCATTCTAAAAGATTTCCGTTTCAATATCTTATTTTCTGTGTGTAAAGAAAGGTTTTCCGAGTGTAAAAAGTTTTTCAAAATCTTTTTCTATGGTGGTTAAAAGTATAGGCCAGTAGAGCGACCCTATTTTTAAAAAAGTCAAAAGTCTGTGGTTGACTAAATTTCCAAATGGATTGGCCGTGATAGTACAATATCTAGGAATTATTTTTTGGTAGTTTTCAGCGTTTGTTTTTTACTGAAGATGTCAAAAAGTTTTCTATGGAGGTCAAAAATATAGACCAGTTGAACGATCCCTATTTTTACAAGCACTTAAACGTTCTTCTATAAGGATCCTTCCTTTTAAAGATATTGGAGTTTTGGTGGTCTCAAACCCTCAATTTACTACTACTGGTACTTTTTAATTATGGAATGGATATATATATATATATATTTATTTATATATATTTATATATATATATATATATATGTATATATGCGTTCTGGCACCTTTTTTTTTGATTTATATATTAATTTTTTTTTCCCCACTTTTTTTTCCCTGTAAGATTTTTTAAAGCGACATTGTTTTTCTGAATAATAATCCCACGAGCAATATGCGTATTTAAAAAATTCTTTTGTTTCTGGGCAATGTTTTTGTCTGAATATTAATCTCACATAATGTCTAACTCTATTTTTAAAAATATATTTTTAGAACATAAACTTTACGCTATTTGCAATAATAATTTTTTATTGAATTTCCTTTAATCAGCGTTTGAATTCAAAGTTTTAACCGAATTGATATATTCAAAAAGTGATAAAAAAATATCAATTTAACAAAATAACGCAAAACTAAATATGAAAAAAATCACATGTTTTTTCTTGGTTGACCCTCCGGTTCAGAAAAAAAGTTAAAGTAAAGTTAGTGTAAATGTTTACCTTCAGTAGACAATTACACTAACTTTAGCTGACCAAGTTGCTTGATATAGAGCAAAAAACAGAGTTTTGTTCCAAAAATGAGTGGCTCTGTTTTCGACAAAAAAACTCGACCGCGTTACCAGCCAAAAAGTTAAAACACTAGGCGTAGAAGCTAAGATGGAAATGAAAATATATAAAGAATGGTCCAATTATCAAGTTTCTTATTATGGCAAAGATAGAAAACAACAGTTAAGTTTACTACATTGGGAAATATTTAACCACAAGAATCTGCTGCACTAAAATGGTAGAGAAAACTAAAAAAAAAACAGTATACTAAAGTCTTTAACGTGTGAGTAAATAGTAACAGCAAGGTTATCAGACCTTTGAAATGGAAACCAAGGAAATCAAAACTTTGAAATGGAAATAGGTGTTCAAAAAATTAACGAAGTTGAAATGGGTCTTCTACGAACGCATGCATTAAATTTGTTAACCAGTTTTGGTACCAAGCTTACCAAGTTTTGGTAACGAAATGAGGAAAAAAATTATTGCAGAAGTCATAAAATCAAAGAGTAAGATTTTGTTAATGATTATTGATTGCTGAGTCAACCATTATAAGCCAAAAATCGACACTGACAGTGTACATTCGATGCTGTGTTAAAGGCAGAGGAATGAATTCACTAATCAAATATATCTTCGGATATTTTATGCTTTACTCGAATTTTATGCTTTACTCGAATGTCTTTACTCTTGAGGGATGAAGAAGAATATTTGAAGAATTATTTAGTTTCTGTAGCATGTAATGGTACAGCAGTGATGTTAGGATGCAAAATAGACGTTCCATTGTTTTGGTCATTAAAGAAGACCTTTTTAATGTGATGACAGTATTATATATATATATATATATATATATATATATATATATATATATATATATATATATATATATATATATATATATATATATATATATATATATATATATATATATATATATATATATATATATATATATATATATATATATATATATACAGGGGTGTACACTCGTTTTTTAGATGGTTGAGTTTGGACACTTGCAGGCATTGTGCAAACTCCAAACTTTTGTATGTTCATATCTATGCCAAATAAGAATGTTTTGCACAGAATTGTGGTGATTGGAGCCTGGGAACAAAAAAGCCCCAATTTTTGTGCCCACCCGGCCCTTAACGTGGGAGCAATGAGTTGATAAAATATTTTCTTTACTATTTTTATCTAAATTTATATTCATCAACAAATTTCAAATTTCATGCAATATTTTATCAACTCATTGCTCCCACGTTAAGGGCCGGGTGGGCACAAAAAATGGGGCTTTTTTGTTCCCAGGCTCCAATCACTGCAAGTTTTTGCAAAACATTCTTATTTGGCATAGATATGAACATACAAAAGTTTGGAGTTTACACAATGCCTGCAAGTGTCCAAACTCAACCCTCTAAAAAACGAGTGTACACCCCTGATATATATATATATATATATATATATATATATATATATATATATATATATATATATATATATATAGATATATATATATATATATATATATATATATATATATATATATATATATATATATATATATATATATATATATATATATAATACTGTATAGTGCTGTATAAGGTAACTACAACAGTGTAAACTTTTTAAGTTAAATGTTAGTTTACATTAAAAACAAAAAATTTATTATAAGAAAAACTTACAATTTGAAAAACAATAATCAATATAAAAGTGGGTTCTCATGAATTAAAGTTATTAGACAAAACGCCTGAATTCTTTGTAAAATTAAATATATACGTCTCTTTCAAGGCTTAAACCAATTTTAGCGTAGCCTGGGAAACGCTGCTGTAAATAATCCTGTCGTGAATTTTAGAAACCTCTAAAAAGATTAGGAACCTCTGCGTACTTTACTTATTTCTGCATTTTGTTGTAGGTATTAAGATATTCTTAGAATGGTCCAATCACAGAGTACCACGGAAGAGCATTTAACAAGGAAGTTTACCCCTCCCTCCATACCAATGTCGCCTAATGGGCTAAAGCCGGTGTCGAATCTCAGACCTCTGGGTTGTAACTCTAATTACTGCGCCACGGCTGCTCTAAATGTTTTTAAGACAACATGGAAAGTAACATTAAAAATAAGTCACTTTCTATATTGTCAAAAAGAAATTGTTTATTTAACTAAAAACCTAGACATCAGTCACTGAATAGGATTGTAACTATAGTTTTAAAAGAAAGTTGATAGTGCTTAGATGAAAGCTTGAATGATGTTAATTCGAAATGATGCCCTAAGAATATATATGTTCGTAAAAGGTCTTTAGAACTATTATTAAATTCTGCCATTATTTCATTCAATGATGATTTTATAGAAGTAACATATGTTTTAAATTTTTAGGCGTATTAGACGGTTTATAAATAAAGCTATCAAGTTACACAATGCTTATGATATATTAAAAGCAAAGCATAAATCAAGCAGCAAAAGCAAATTATGGCGGCAGAAACTAAGAGGAATTAAGATTTCTCGAATAAGGAAGCTGAAGTATAACTAATCTACAAATAGATTTATTCTTTTTCTTTAAAATTTTTGCAGTTTGTTCAAAATATATTGGAGCAGAATAATAATAATAATAATAATAATAATAATAATAATAATAATAATAATACTTATATTTTTTTCATCACCAATAAGATCTGCCCAGTAAAACCAGAATCTATATGGCAATGTTTGGAAACATAGTTTTAATAAGTAAGCTATGCTACAGCTTTGTGGTAAAAATGTTGAAATTTTAATTCCTGATTATCGTTTTAACTTCTTTGAGGCATTTCAGTTTGATCATCTATAAATTGTACAAATAATTTAAATATTTTTTGTCATTAATGCAAATAAAATTCATTTAGTTAATTAATACGATAGTTAAAGAGTAAATTATAAACAAACAAGAAAACTGTGTTTTACACAACACTGTCATTTACGTAGGTATAGAATGTTACTGAACTGTAATCTTTTGATACCGTAATTAAATTGAGTACGACTTTGGTGGACATTAAGAGGAAGTTTGCATCAACCTGTAGTTTGTCAATCAATTGGTGTGATTATTGTTTAACTTAGGATTTAAAATTAAGTATTGCAAACATTCACTAATCTTGAAGATTTCATCTATTGCATTTGATATCTAAAGAAAGTGGAATTAAGCAAGTATGCTTGTTTTTTAATATTAAAAGATTTAACTACAGATGTTGTTGTTAAATTTGTTAATAAAGTTGTTTCTTTCCAATAAACATATTATAATATATTATAAACATATTATAATATATTATGTGAGTAAACTAAATACACAATTTGGTAAATCTGCAGTCAAGCGGCCTAAAGTAATTTATTTTGTTTGCTTATTGCCCTCTCATTAGTGGAGACTTTATTAGTGGAGACTTTATTAGATATATGTACTAAAGTTAATTTATTAACTTTAGTACATATATCGCCTATCTTATAGCCTGCTGCCACAAGGGAGTTCTGTTGCATTGACTGAGGGTTTGGTATGGGCAGCAATCTATTTTCCTTCATTATTGAATTAATGGAAGAAAAGATTTTTGCCTTATGCCAACCCATAGATTAAGGTTTAGGAATGGGGTAAAAATCATTTAACTTTAACTAAGTCTTTAAAATCATTTAAATCTTGAACTAAGGTTTTGTTAATCTAGCAAAATAAATTTTTTTAGGTCGCTTAACTGCATATTTACCCACATTTTAAGAAGTTTTAAATAATATGAATTTATAAATGTTTAAAATTTGTTATGTCAAATTGTGCATTTTAGTACACACACTCACTCCTCTACCTGTCCCATCACACCCACACAAATACACACACACATATATTAAAACTATTTACTATACTATACTATACTATATAGTACTAAATATCTCAAAAAAGTTAATAAAAAAAACTGCTATCCATGTACCTAAAAACTTTAATTTAAATGCCTAATTAAATGTAATTAAACATAGAATTTGTTTAATGTTTCAAGGTTATATGTTTTTCACACATCTATATATATATATATATATATATATATATATATATATATATATATATATATATATATATATATATATATATATATATATATATTATATTATATTATATTATATTATATTATATTATATTATATTATATTATATTATATTATATTATATATATATATATATATATATATATATATATATATATATATATATATATATATATATATATATATATATATAGTATAGAGTATTATGAATAAGAGATTTGTAGAGGTAAGGAATGGAATCAGAAGTAAGGAAATGGCGTGCACGATATTGAGAAGCAACCTTAGTAGAAGCTAATTTAGCAATCAATTGTATATAAGGTTTCCATGAAAGGTCAGTCGTAAACAATAATCCAAGAAGATGTAAAGAGGAGGACTCAATAAGAGGATTATCATTCATTAATATAGGAATTTTGACCATATTGCAATAGTTGTTTGCAGTAAACAACTGGGTTTTGTTAGAGTTAAAATTCACAAGCCACTGTGAGCCCCAATCTATTACAGAAGTGAGATCAGTTTCAAGATCAGCTGCTTGTTCTAAGCGATTGAAAAGATAAGACTTTTTGTCAAGACAGGAGTATAAAGTTAAGTCATCAGCAAAAAAAGCTAATTTAGATGTAAGGTTGTCAGGAAGATTGTAATGTAATTAAGAAACAAAACAGGGCCCAGGATGGAACCTTGAGGTACCCCAGAAGTTACTGGAAATAAAGAATAGTGTTGGCCTTCCAGGATGACTTTAATTAGAAAGGTTAGAAAGAAATGATTTGATAATCTCAAAAACTTTCCCAGACTCACCGTATGAAGGAAGCTTATGGGGAAGACCACTATGCCAAACTTTGTTGAAAGCTTTAGATATGTCTAGAGCAATTGCCCTAGTCTCACCGCCTCCATCTAATGCTCAATAAAATCTTTCAGCTACAGCAGTTTGCAAGTCAGCTGTAGAGCAAGAGGATCGAAAACTGTATTGATTGTCTGACAGTAGTTTATTTGACTCAAGATGTGATGTGAGGGATTTGTTGATCAAAGACTCAAAGACCTTGCTAATAACAGAAAAAAGACTGATTGGACGATAATTGGAGGGGTCAGAATGTTCTCCAGAGTTTTTGGAAATTGGAACAACAGATGCCATCTTCCAGCAAGCAGGAAATCAAAACTCTGTCAAGTACTTTTTTAAATAGTTCAGAGAGAATTGAAGTAAGTTCCGGAGAACAATTCTGCAAGACTATGAAAGGAATGTTGTCTGGACCACAAGCTGTAGAAGAGTTTAATTGAGATATGACTTTAGCAACAGAATCCAGAGTGATTTGAATGTCTAACAATGGGTCAACCTGTTTAGCTGGAATGGAAGGAAGAGAATGGCCATAAGATTCAAGAGTGAAATTAGAAAGAAAATTTCTTTGAAAGTAGTTCTGCCTTATCCTTTGGAGAGGCAATAAGATTAGTCCCATGATTGAGAGATGGAGTGTTAGACCTACCCTTGTTAATAATGCTGTTGAAGATTTTCCAAAAGTCTTTAGAGCCTAACTTCTGTGATAAGATGTGAGATTTAGTGAACTGAGAGTAATGCAGTTTAGCATCAGAAAGCACCTTTTTACATTGATTTCTTGCAATATTAATTAGCTGTTTGTTCTCAAGAGAGTTGTTCTTTTGAAAAAGATGAAAAAAATGATTACAATTAGATATAGCAGCTGCAAAAGAAGGTGAAAACCATGGAGTAGAATGAGGCTTTACTTGAAACTGACAAGAAGGAATAAACGCTTCCTTTCCTGCCTGAATCCAGGAGGTTATGTAGGAGGTGCATTTATCAGCTTAGAGTGAAAAAACATCAGCCCAAGGACTATCACGAAGAAAGTCACGAAAGGAATCCCAGTCAGTTTTAGGGTAGTAGTAGGTGGTGCGATGATAAGGTGAGCCTGAAAATTTAGCATGAGAGGAAAGATTTATTTAGATCATTGCATGTTCAGAACCACCTACGGGAGAAATTGAACATAAGCTTGGGTCAGAGACAAGACATAATTCAAGGAGTGAAGGTAAATGATTAGGGTTGTCAGGAAAATGTGTCACAAAGTTAACTATTTGAGTAAAAGTTTGAGAAACGCAGAAATTATAGGCTTTGGTGCTAGCAGGATCAGTAGTGTTAGAGCCAAGCCATTCAGAGTGATTGGCATTAAAGTCACCATTAACAACAACATTAGCAGAGGGGGAAAGAGAGAGGGCATGGTCAATTTGATCAGAAATAACATCTAAAAGAGTGCAGTCATGGGAAAAAGGAGAGCGATAAAGAACAAAGAGAAAAGCGATAGAGTGAAGAATGCTTAGCGAAAGCAAATAAAAGAATGGTTAAAGGATTTGAACCTGATTTCACGACAAATAGGGGAATTAATGTGTATGTATACCCCCAAACCTAGCATGTGACTATTGGAGTCTTTACAAGTCAAAGGATAGTACCCTTCAACATTGACATCTGCAGAAGGAATTGCAGAATTTAGATTTGTCTCACTGAGAGCAAACAAGTCTGGTGAATTTTGCAGGAGATAAGATTGAACTGATAGAAAGTTGCTTCACAGACCAAGAATATTTTTAAAAAATATATTAAAATAGTTAGGTGGTGGAGATGGTTTTTTATGTTTAAAGTTTTGGGTTACTTTTGGCATGATTTAGGTTTATTAAACTTGATGCATTTTTAGATAGAGTACAGCCTCCTAAGCAATTAGCTATGCAGTTGTCTCAGTCACGTTAATTAAACCTAAGTCATGGCATACGGCTCTCTATGTGGCCTCGACAATGCACACCAAAAGCATTAACAGGGACACCATCTATGCACAATATGGCACTGTTAATACTCTGATTTTTTGCAGCTGTTGATGGAACCAGCCGGCGTCAGAACACTTAAAATGAGTTTTAGAGTTGTACCCTCTTAAGCAGATAACAGGAAGAGTTGCATAGCCTTTATCAAGGAGGCATAAGAAAAGATCCATGAGTAGAGTCAAGATGAACAGCATTCTTCATCCTAGGAAGGAAACAATGTAACACAGGTTATATCTACGCCAGCCTAGTAGATGAAGAAGAGGTTCGAGGCTGGTTAGTAGAATTTTTCTGCTTACTCCTAAAGTCTTTTGCCTAGGAGGCCTCCTACAAGACAGTAACTGGATGCAATTAACATATGCCCAAGTTGACTATTTTTTTCCAGTCACCACCTCTAGCTTTTACTCAACCATGAACCCCTAGGCAAGGGAATTTTTAGTCAGAGTTTATTTCTCTTAGCCTTTGTCTAAGAAGAGCACACTCTGCAAAGCAGCACAGCTTGTGGCAGGTGGTACTGGGTTTTGTGATACCAGTAGCAGGCTGATCTTGATGATCCTGACCTGGAGTAGCTAAAAGGAGTTACTTCCTGCAAACAGTACTTTAAGAACACCAGGCATGACATTTTGGAAGTGCAATAGGAAAGAAACTGCATCTAACGAAATACAGGAGTCTAAGGTGAGCGTAGGTTTTATAGTTGGAGTAAGTAGTTAGTTACTGAGCTCACGCTGCATCAAAGATTAAACAGAACACAAAGAAACATAAGTCAACTTATGGGTGAGTCTGAGGTTCAGGCAGAACACAAACATACATAAAAACATAAAGTAATTTAAGGGTGAGCAAACACTGCTCCACAGGTTCAGACAAAACACAAGCATACATAAAAAACATAAAGTAACTTACGGGTGAGCGAACACTATGCCAGAGGTTCAGACGGAACACAAACATACATATAAAACATATAGTAACTTATGGGTGAGCAAACACCGCTGCAGAGGTTCAGACAGAACGCAAACATACATATAAAGTAGATTACAGGTGAGTTAATACAGTAACTAATGCACCTCCAGCTGTATAAAAAACACGCAGACAAAAAAAGAAATAATACTATAGGCATGACTAATATAAGATAGTAATGATGATAGGAAGCACAATCCTTCGAGCCTTTGCTTAGAAAGTAAATCCTACAAGGCAGCAGGTCAGGGAACAGGTTGCACTGGGTTACATGTTACCAGTAGCAGGATGATCATGAAGACAATATTCCTGACCTGACACTAAATGTTTGTTTTTATTTGTGTTGTGCTCAACTTTTTACAGATGAGGTTAGCT